CGCGCGCGCGCGCGCGCGCTATGCTGACCCGTGAACGTATTCTACGCTCGCCAAATCGTGAAAGCCTCTGCAGTGCGCGATCTAGCAAGCTGCATGATGACGTGACGTCCAAGCGCGAGCTGTATGTAGCTCTCCACTCAGACTCAAAAGCTCACGACTGACCGGCTGACTGACTGACTGACTCGTTGGAGAGCCGATCACGATCCAGGACTGCTGCACATTGAGCTATAGGAGCATTGTCCAGACTCGAATTTTGCAGCTTGGCTAGCTAGGAGTTCGTGCAGCGACATCAATCACGTAAAGTATTCGGCTCCCAGAAGACTCTCAAAGGTCGCAGTAAGCTTCTAACAAACACGATTTCGGGGTCACAACCAGACCAAGGGGCACACGACGCGCAGATCATTCAACTTTTTCAGCAGTCGGAATGGATCGTGGCGGCGCTCAACACTCGATGCACGGAACACGCAATGGTTAGTGTGGAGCATCGTATTTTCGAATTCCCGATTCTTAACCTTGCACTGTCGAGAGCCGTTCAGGAATCCGCGTGTTTGTGCTTCTCTCCTTGCGCATGAGAAGCGGGACAGTTGCAAATGAAAAGAAAATAATATGGTTGGGCAGGAGGCGGCACTGCTTCATGTGAATGAAGCAAATAGCGCTCGCGGATCAGTCGAGCGGAATGTACTGTCGCTTCGTGGCACATCCCATCCGGTAGAATGGAGCAGATCATTTTCCAAAGATGTAGATGAAGCTGCCTCGAGTCTTGAAATTGATCGGCAGAATCTCGTACTTGAGGGCCTCCATCTGGATGAAGAAGCCCGTCTTGATAAAGATGTTGCAGAACAAGGGCACGACAGCAAGGAAAAAGGAGTGGAGGAGGAGCACGGCAACGATGGTCGGAATCTTGTTGTTGATATCTGGGTAGGTACGTCTGAACCACGTGCTGGCCACTGTCGCAAGGCCGTTCAACACAAAGAAAAGAAAGTTCATGCCATCCGCCTGGCCCATTGTGCTATACGTAATGTGCTCGTGGAAGATGCCGCTAGCAGCAAATGTGACCACCGCTGCAACGGCCTTTGGAAGGAAGGGTGAGCGCTTCGCAGGCTTGGCTTGGGGCTGCGCCGGTTTCGTGGAGGTCATCTTGAGTCCGTTCTTCTTCACGCGACGCTCATGCTCCTCGTCGTCAGTCTTGCTGTGCTCAGCTTCTGTCTCTGAGAGGTGGTCGTACGTCTTGCGCTTGGCTTGAGCAAGCTCGCGGACACGTTTGCTTGCCGCAATCTGCTGCGACTTGGTAGGCCCGTTACTCGACACCTTTTTGTTCTTGTGGCCGCCAAAGATGACCCGATGGAAGACGGAGGCAATTGCACGATTCCAGTGCGACCAGAAGAGACGGATGTTGATGGTCGAAAGGGGGCTCTCGAACATGTCTTGCATCTCAACGTTGAAGATGATACCGAGACCCTTGAGCAACCCATCTCCGAAAAGAGCCAATGCCATGAGGATCGAGACGCCCAGAGCATCGCAGTAGAGATGGTACTTCAGCTGAGGGAGATCCTTGGCGATTTCGTAAGGGGGAATGATGTAAAGCGTCAGGAGGAAGATGATTCCCTCCACCAGCACCTTTGGGTATCCCTTTGCATTCTCAATGCGCGCATTTCTCTTGAAACCTTCAGCTTTGGTGCGCTCCTCGATGTCATCCTCCTCTCTGTAGCAAGACGGGTTGCGCAACGTGTTCAGCTCTGGATTCACATGCTGGGCACGCAGAGACACATCACCTACTTTGGGAATGCCCAGAGGCCGCAGAAGAATCGAGCAAAGTTCCAGCTGTCAATCTCTTGGCGAGTCCGAATCACAAAAATGTCGTACACCACTGGAAAAGGGTAGGATGAGAGACGTGTGAGCAGTCTGCACAAGCACCGGCGGCCTCCAAGCAGGCATGTCGGACCTGCATCGACACTTACAAAGGGAGGAACGGAAACCAAGAGCCTGAGGACGGGAAAGTAGCACGTGGTAAGCATTACGGCCCTCCGACGGAAAAAGTGATGCGGGCACAAAGAGGCGCATGCTCCTCCTCATCCGTGCCGTACTTTGACCCATTGGAAGCCAGTCTGCGGATAGGCCCTCGAACTGCTTTCCGCGCTCCGAAACGTGCGCTGCCCTTGTTATACAACTAGCCCTCCCCACAAAGGAATGAGCCTGCCACTCACTGGACGCCAAAAGTCGAGCATCATGCAGCCGCTCATGCCAGTCACGATGGGCCAAGCGAGAAGAACAGCGCTCAAGCCGCCCACGCAGCCGTATCTGAGCACCTGGCTCTTGGTAGCGACGTGGTAGTAGAGCAAGCGAGCGACGAAGCTGGTGAAGAACATGAAGCTCATCATGCGGATGGCGATGATGCCTGCTGTGCGCAGAGGATAAGGTGGCAGATCGTACTCCACCACTTCGAAGCCAGCCCATCTCGCGGCATCCAGCACAGGGTCGGAATTGAGCAAGGGGAAGCCTAGCTTGCTGTACTTTGGCTTGAACAGGCTGCCAATCGTATCTGGAGGTGTGGTGCGCATATAGAATGTTAGCAACGCCGCTCTCGACGCTGAAAGGACGGGAAGGCACGCACCAGCGGCAAGCTCAGAGGCCTTGTCGAGGAAATCGACCATGATAGATGAACGGGGTGGGGTTTGGCCGAGCAATTGCTAACAAGGCACAGTAGAGCGCTGTAAGCTGCGTGCCTTTTCGACGAGTCACAAGCGCGTCGAAATGCCAGCGTCTGCCCAAAGTGTACGTTTCTTGACAATGTGTCAAGATAGTTGAGAGTCGCTCGAGGATGCGACTTTGCGGTGTGAGGGTCACAAGAGAAGCCTTTTGCGAAGTCAAGAGAGTGTTCCCACCCGCCGACGCCTCTTGCCATCCCGATCGGGGTCCTGTTTCTGTGCGATTTGCAACAGCAAGGGCTATGACGGAGCGCCAAGCAGCAGCATCGAAGCTTGCATCATCTGCAGCACACCTTGCGGGGGAGAGAGCTGAGCAACAGACCGCAAGCTGGGCGGGCAGTGCAGCATGAGCAGCAGCGAGTTTCCATCCGCCTCGTCAGTCATCAACAGCAAACCTTTCTTCCTGCTGCAGGCTAGCACGGTGCTGCTGCTGGCACTCGTGAGTCGTGCGTGACTCATGACGGCTGCTACTCGCACTCTGCTTGACTCGCGCACTCACACTGTGACTGACATGCAGCTGCATCCCCGCATTCATGCACTTTCTGGTCAAAGCGCAGCCGTGCACCACACACGCACGCATGCACCATGCTGCAGCTCTCACGAACTCCACACACGGGCGCACATGCAGCCGCGCGCGAATTCCGTCAGCGCAACAATGAGAATCGAATGAATACAAGCTAGGTGAAACAGGCAAAGCTGGGAGACTCGATCGCAATCCAGCAGCATGCACTTGTTATTGGGCCTGACAGAGCAGGTCTCACTTGCGCGGCGGTAGACCAACTCGCTTGCTTACACCGGCCGTCGCGCTTCGAACTTGCTCGAGCCGCGCGGCCATCGTCAAGATATATCCTGGACTCTAAGCAGCACTCACGACTGGTCGGACTCTAAACAATTAGACATGCAGAACAGCTGGCAACAGTGTAGGCGGGCATCAGCGTTGATACTCCTGACTCACACTCATCAGACTCCACCACGTAGCATCAGCATCTGCCGAGTCGTGAGTCAGAGTGCTGCTAGCTGCAGCTCGTGCGCGGTGACGTGCGTGAAGAAGTGACGTGCAGCAAAAGTAAAGAAAGGGCTTTGGCGTGTGTGCATCACCCTCGCTGCTGCTCCTCTTCCTCGCGCCGTCTTTTCTCTGCTGCTCTCTTGGCCCTTTCTGCTGCCGCGCTTGCACGCTTTTCCCTCCTCGACGCCATTCGCATTCGTGATTTCCAATCGTGAATGTTGAATCACGTATGGTGTACGTGCCTTGTGCATGCCACTAAGCTCGTGTCTGCCTTTCTCCTGCGCCATGACTGAGCTCGCTCTAGCGTGCACTACACACTGCGCAGTCTTCAGTGTGAGTGCGGGGTACTGGTGAACGATGCATCGCGAATTCCCGCGCCCGTCTTCATGAATCAACCTCCTACGCGGTGCCGTTGAAAGAGTCATGAGTGAATCAAGAATGGCGGCCGCGATCGTCGTGATCCGGGACTTGCCCATCAAAATTCTCAAACTGGAGACGTCGAAGCATCACACGGCAGGACGATCGTAGCTCAGCAAGTCACGAGTCTTAGCTGATGACCGCAGGAGATTCTGATTGTGGGGATTCTGCATGGCCGAGCAGAGCACCCACGCCGAGAGCTGAGCGCAAGCCACTCACTCGCTCGCTCGCTCGCTCGCCCCGGCCAATCGCGATCTTCGCGTGGTGCGTGCGCGTTCCAATCAATGTGACTCGCGACGATGCGGCATGTGGCCCGTATATAGCCAGCGTCTCGAAGTCGGATGCTGGGTGAGCTGCGCGCTGACCCCAGCAGACGTCGGTGATACAGCAGCAGCATGCAGACATGCAAACGAACTCAATTGAGACTCACGACTCACGACTCACGACTACAGCTGCTTGCTTGCTCCTTGCCAGCTCTGAGCAGAGCAGCTCATCGTTCATGCGGGATGACGGTAGCGATCGAAGCGTTTGCTCCAGAACTTGGCCAATTGTACGGTGGACGGACGACTGCTCACGCCTCGTGACTTGTCGGTATGTCGATCGATCACCAGACGGTCTTGCAAACTCAACAAGACGAGTGACCACCGAGACGACAAGCACTCAACTCAAGGCTTCGTGACTCGAGAAGACAAAGCTATCGCGCTGCTTGGCCCGGCGTTGAGGTTTTGGATCAGGCCCTGGCTATTTCTACAGGATCGACGTGATATGTGTCGTTTGCAGCCGGCCTGAGAGCAGCGATGAGGCCCAGATTGACGTCGTCTTCGCGAGGGAACATTCGCGCTGTTCTCGACCGGGTGCCATCAGGCAGTGAAGGTAGTCCAAGGTCAGGGTTCTGGTAGTGACACATCAGGGTTACAAGTTGCTTCGTCCGAAAAGGTGTCTACGCCATCTAGCAGATTGCTGGAAAGATACGTAATTTGCGACACTGGACATGGCGGGAGTCTGTGGCAGATTTACAGTATTGGCGCGAGCAACGCTGAGCAGCGCTTAGGCGGCAAGGGTGTGTACGCGATCCTGAGCTTGGCCATCCACCCTGCTATCCACCTCATCCTTAGAGACAGAGTTAGCTGGTGAGAGTCGATCAGGACCTGCGGGCACCATTCCAGATATGTCTTCATCGTCGAAGCAGCGCTCCTCTCCCAACAGCTCCTCCATGTCTTCTTCATCCGATCCCGACAAGAGGGCTGAGGGCGACACTCGCCAATGCAAGCCTGGAATGCGCCCTACAATGGCAGCCAAAACAAACGTGATCACAAAAGCCCAGACTGTTGCGGCGACAGAATCTGCCAATTGAATGCTGTTGGGCATCCTCCGGGCATGTCAGCCCGGATTTGCTTGCTACCGTAGCTCCTTGACGGCGGCGCTCACCCGATCTGCTTCCAGTGCCCATCTATCAAGGCGCCACCTGCGAACTCGGTAACACCGTCGAGGGCAGCCAGTTGCTTCTGCGCGAAGAATCCAGTCATCATGTTACCGACGACACCACCAACTGCACGCAAAGATCGCAAGAAAGAGTGCTTAGCCGAAGATTCGCTTTTAGCCGCCATTCACGACTCACCGAAATGCAAAGCCACAACGTCGGCTGGATCATGGAAACGCGTAAAGCGCCAGTTCTTCAGCTTGGTAGCGTAATTGCAGACTAATCCATTGAGCGCGCCGATCAAGAGTGCGGTCGGGTGGCCGACAAACCCGCAAGCTTATGAGCGGAGTGAAGATGGTCAGTGACAGACCTATTTCGCGTCAGGAAGACCGTAGCCGAGCTCACCGGGCGTGATGCCGACTAGCCCAGCAATGGCTCCGCTACATCCCGCAACAATGCTCCATCTTCGGGACCTGACATAGTCCAAGATGGACCAGGAGAGGCTTCCTGCGCATGCAGCCAAGCACGTCACGCTCGCAGCCATGACGCTCCTCAAGTTGAGAGCCATGAACCCCCCAGCTCCATCGCTGTGGGTTTGTATGAGCGCAGGAAGAATGGCGATGGTGATCAGCTCCGCAATGCAAGACGAAGACGACGAGCATTGCGCGACTCACAAGGCCAGCCAACCGCTCCAGATCAATAGCGTGGCTATGAGGACCAACAGTGGATTGTGCGGCGGTCGGAGGTCCTTCGCCGCTATCCACCCGCTCCCAGCCAGAGGACTTGCAATGTAGAGACTGAGGGACAGGGCCGAGATGCCTGAAGCGATGTGCACCGGGGTTCCCCCGGCAGTGTCCGCTACACCAAGATTGTAGAGCCAACCGCTGGATGACCATACCCAATGGGCAATGGGGCAGTACACCAGGGTGATCCATAGGAAGATGAACACCATCAGCGGTGCCATCCTCGCCCTTCCGCTCACTCCTCCAACGATGATGGCGGCGGTGCAAGCTGCGAACTCGTACTGGAAGAGTGCATAGAGCACTTCTGGGATAGCAAAGGCGAACGGAACGCTGGACTCGATATTCACGTAGCCGAAGCGCCGCCAGTCGCCGATGAAGCCATTGCCGGTATCACCAGAGTAGGCAAGAGAGTGTCCGATGAGGAACCATTGCACCCCGCTGATGCTGGCAGTCATTAGCGCTGCGAATAGCATGCCTGCTCCAGATTTGCGCGTGGAAAGACCGGAGTAGAGGAAGCCGATGGCCGGGATGATTGGAAATACAAAGCACACTGCAGCGGTGAGGGAGGGGATGGTGAGCTGATCAGCGGGGCTCGGTGCTACACATGAAGGAACGACGACAGCTCACCTGCAGCAATCACCCAAGCTGAGGTGATGAGGAACAGGAGGTAGTCTCTATTGGTGCATGATTGCCAGCATGCTCGCTGAATCGTCTTGCCCACTCACCCACATCTGCCAAGTTGTAAACCTGTTGCACGCCATCGGGCGAGGTCTGCACGATGGCGCCAGGAGCAGTGGTGATGTTGAACGCGCCGCCCATGTTCTACTTGTCGCTTGCGATGCTGCAAGAGTACGGCGAAGAGGAGATGCGTGCAATTCGCAAGTTCAGAGACAGAAAAGATGTCAAGTGAAAGGAGGTGCGATGCCAGATGTAGGGGCGAGGGCTTGCACTATTTGACTGGAAAGCATTGACAGGGTCAAGTGACGTACAGCAGGATGGCGCTCTCCTGCATCGACGTTGACATTCACGAGTGCAAGGTGAGGGAAGGCCCACAGAGAGATAAGTTGCATGGCACCTCCAAGGTCCGCGGGTTCGTGTGGCTAGACGGCGGGCTTGGCGTCGTGTATCGCTGCGTGTATGCTCTGCCGAACGATTCATTCAGAAGCTTGATCTATAAAACTGCATTGCGATTCAACATCACAGCGTAGCCTCGCCTCACAGTCTTGCCAGACGCTGTCGTCGTACGCGCCATGGTAGATGTGAGAGCGCTGATGAGGGGCCGGGACGATGTTCAGCCACACGGCCGATAACGCTGGCCCCATTCACGTGCGAATTTGACACGGAAACGTCTAGCCAGGCGGAGAAAGCATGCCTCAGATAAGCTCGCTGTTCGTGATAGCATACCGATCCGATGACCTTCGATTAAGCGCAAAGGTAGATTAGATGTATGTATAGATGTGCAAACAGCTACGAGCCCCCCGGATCTTTGATAACGCGCTCGGCCTCGACTGCCGCGGGTAAACTCACGAATGAAGTTGGTACGCCCATATATATTTGCCGTCCTCTCTCTGAATCACGAATCTTGAATACGATATATATGCACTTCATCTCCGAATAGAATTGAATCAAGAATCTGCCCAAAAGCACGCATGCTGCATATGTGAGGTCCATGCATTCACGTGATGGTTGCTGGTCCGCGCGCGTCAAGCGCGTTCTGCCATGGAGAGCGCTTCAATTCAAGATTTGATCTTCGCCCCTCGTACTGTGTGGTATAGCGGGCGGCCAAGCAGCACAGCCCTGCATGCAGCTTTGCAACCTTCATCCATCCCTGATTCGAGTTCCTTACAGCTCGATACAATACAGGACCAGGTTCGATTTCTGGCAGCAATGAGCAACTTGCCGCCCGCGCTGTAGGCAGGACTTCGAGTGCAAAGGGCAGATTGATCGCATTCCCTACCCTGGGCCCCGGCCTGCTCAGGAGCGATGGCCAGCTTCGACGGCAGCGCCAACGGAATAGCAACGCCACGATTCGCCTTGGAGCAGAACGAGGACTCGATAACGATCACGGCTTGGTGCACACCATCAGCATCCAGCAGCAGCCACAGCGCAGACGAAGAACCTCGCGCCATCGCAGAAGGTCGCACATTTGGACTTGTCCATCGCGCTTACTATCTACCTCTCGTCCTACCCCTGCCATGCAAAGGCGTCAGGCACTACTCTGTGTCAGGAGATGCTGTCACTGTCACGATCGATAAGGCCTCTGCAGGCTTTTGGAATCTCGAAGAGATTGTGCCCGGAATCGCGCCGGAGCTCCATGTAGGCTCGACGCAGCGCCAAGCGAATGGTGGCCCGGATGTCATATCTGATGCTGTTAGTCGAGCAAATGAGAGTGCGTCCTCAGATCACAGGCTGGCCCTGGTCGACGAAGAGTCAACAACGTCCGCAGACTGTGTGCCAGTCGAGCAGCTTCCCAATGACAGTGCGTACGCTCATCTCTTCAGCTTTTCGTGGCGCACGTGTCCTCATGCTGACGTCGCAGCAGCCATCTGGCAGGCTTGGTAAGAGCACCTCGAGTCCTCGCAGAAGCGAGATCACAAGTGCACGAGCAGCCTTGGGACGAAGATAGAGACGCCAATATGCGGTCAGAGGAGGCCGAGAAGCGAGAGGATGAGTGCTGGAATGAAGAGTGGTACTTGTAGGTGGCGGGTGATGCCTGTGCACCTGACAACGGGCAGAGTCGACTTCTAACGCCTCGTGACCTTTTGCTGCATTCTTTAGGGACAACTACGCAGACGAAGCTGGAGAGATAGCTGCGTGCTTGGCCTGGCAGTCAAGCCATCTTGCAACGGAGTCGCATCCGCTTGCGCTCGCCCGAGATGACCAGCCGCAACTTGGCCCCTTGCACTTGTTGTTGATTGAATTGCTATTTGCGCAGTGCTACGACGAGCGAAGCAATCAAGGGGACACGTCGGTAGAGAGCGGTTGGACCATCTCGGTGCTTTGCAGATCACTCGTCGCTAGCTACCTGCCTCGGCAAACGGCCAGCTCGGAGCAATGCGTCACTGCAGCGCTCCGTGTCTCCTTCAGAAGAGCCTTGACGAAGCCTCTGTACCGGAGCTGGTCACTCGCCACTGTCGTCGCCCATGACGTGCGGACAATCTTGGGCGCTGGTTCATCGTCGATCCGATCACGTCTTCAGGTCATTCGCGATTGTCTCGAGGAAGGAGCAGCAGGGGGCGACGATGCTATGGAACTTTACGTGAAGGACGTCATAGGACCCTTGGCGATGTGGCACGAGTCCCAACCGTGAGTTCTCACGACTAAGCGCACGTTCTGTACCTCTGAAA